TCTTCTTCCTCGATGTCGCACGTTATAACGGGAGGCGGCGGTCCGATGATCGCAAAATTCCAGATGTCGCATACAGACATCGACTTGATGAGCGAGGACATGAACTGGTCATCAATCATAGGAATGTCTGATTCGGATCTACAACTATCGCTAAGCAATGTCGATATAGAACTTAGCCACTTTTGATTGCATACTACCTAGTTAGTTACCCGATATTTAGAGCCTAGAATAGACTTAGACTCTCTATAGTTAGAAGTTAAACAATAAAGAGATGAGACAATGATATCCTTTTATTCACAATATTTTCAACTATTTCCTCCCCCTTCTCCTTTTGTTCTTATGATTATTTTCCATTCTATATATAAGTTACTTGTCACTTAAGGTATGTCAATGCAAGTAGACTGCACCTCAACCTCACCACCACAGAGATAAAAATCCGATTGGGTTAAACATAGGACGATCTTTACGAGTTATGCATCCGATCTATCAAAAGCTATCTGGCTGGAAATCATGACCTCATACTTTTTATTCTCTGGGACCTTCAAGATACATAGGTAGGTAGGTAACCGCCTATGTAATATTACTTGCATTGTATTGAACGGGACTTACATCTTAACCCGGTATGAAGATCGTCCCGATAAATGCAACTACACAAACCCCCGTTCAGCGCATCTTTCAAGTAACAGCCCAGAATGACTTTCTATTCCGACTGCCGGGTGGATTCGTCTCGGAATCTTCTATCGAGCTATTCCCTTCTACGTCAGCTTACTAAGTTATCATTTCGCTTTATTCCTTCGTGCCTATAGCCTGCCTATGGCATAGGTACCCACATCGTCGTCCCGATACGATTACTCATTTGGTGCTACTGTAACACTGCCCCCACCCCCGCGTGCTCCTTGCATATGCGAATACACGTGGGGACAGACCGACTCATTACACCATATCCACTGTTCAAGGTTATGCCAAGCCCGCACTAGCAAGCTAGGGCTCCCGGCAAGGTACATAAAGGCAGGCTCGACAGGGGTCTAGAGGAGCCGCATTACGCGCCAGCCCCATCTTAAGTTCAGCTAGGACATCCAGCCCAATAGGGTGCTTACTCCGCACAACGTTCAGCGCCACAAATACATAAGTACACGTATGCAGGTTGTCAGTCCTACCTGCAAGATATGCTGCTAGGACCCGTGCTACCTGAAAAGTCCTTCCGATGCGACCTTTAATCTATAAGTGCGTTCGTGGTGCGTTCCAGAACGCAGCCTACAACCCAAATGAAGGGCCCACCCGATTCCAATGGCCGAAATTCGCTAGAGAGGAGCCTGCATTGAATGTATATGTATGTAGGTACCTATACATGCTTACAAAATATATGCAGTATACTACGCCCATGTCCTATGTAAGTACGAACATCCTACATTCAGCGTACATATCCACTAGCACCAGCTGAGTGAGAGTTACCTAGGTACAGCGGGGTATTATAGATCGAGTGCCACAATGGTGCACGGTAACTTAGGTACCTACCTAGGTAGCCAGCCTTGGAAGATTGGTCCTTTCGATATTGCTATGTAAAATTAAAAGACACCCGGGTTGGTTACGGCAGGCAAGAAGCAGGCACGGAAACAAGGCACAGAGATCGGAGGATTTATAGAAGGAACCGCGTACTAGTAAGATAAGGCACGGAGGATGATAAGGATGATGAGATCATCGGAACAAAGCCTTCTTATCTAATTCTTGGTCGTCCTCATACGAAGCGCTAGGATTGTTGTGTACTGCCCTGTTTCGTGTCGATTTTGACGTGGCTACCTGTTTTTATCTTATTGCGGAAATACGTGGAGATATCAGGACTTTTGTAATATTAGGTGTCTACCTACCTAAGATATACTCCTGTTGTAGTGGTGCACCAAGCTGATTATACTGCTCTAGTTCTGACTAATATCTTAGTTACCTAAATTGCTTAGGTCTCTACTATAAGGGTTCTAGGTAAATCCGCTTACTTATTATTTCAGGTGGAGGCGTCCGGAGATAGGTCAATACAGAACTATAAACCCGGCGAGGCGGCTAATAGGTATACCTATACCTAGACCCACCAGCTGTATACCCACCTACTAGGTAGGCTTATCACCCCCTAGGCCTATCACCTATCACCTACTAGAGCTAAATCCTACAAGTCCAAAAAAAGATATTTCTGGATATCCTTCAAAGTCATATTTTAGTGTCTAGCCCATCAGCTAGAATCCCAATTCTTTAAGAGTTTCGGCCGAACAATTCGGTCCACTAAATCACGAAATCTAGAATCGTATCACTGGAATCTTACGATTGGGTCTTGGTTTGATGAATCTTGAAGGAAAAGTAGAAAGACAAATCTCCTTGAAATGATAGCCTGTAGCTCCCTGTCAGTTGTTGTTTGTACGCTTAGTATTCTTTACTCTTACAATTTCAAAAATATTGGGCTCGTACAATTTTCTTTGTGTTAGCTCTCTGTTCGACATTGACCACCATGTTGTCTCAAGCTCAAGGTGTGTTAGACGTCTTCGGCAACGTCCACCTTTCGCCAGCCGTTGGTTTCCTTCTCGCCGGCGCTGTTGTGCTTGTCTATGGAGTTTACCTTAGACTTCTACCCAAGCCTATCCCCGGGATTCCGTATAATCCCGAGGCTACGCGCTCCCTTTTTGGCGATGCGCCTAGCATGTTAAAGGAGACGGTGAAGACGGGTGAGTTTATGGCATGGATGCGGAAACAGTCGGAAAACATGAACGCGCCCCTCTGCCAGATATTTCTGCGCCCGTTATCTAACCCTACACTCGTTCTCGCGGACTGGAGAGAGGCGCAGGATGTTCTGATGAAGCGGAAGGACTTCGATCGATCAAGCTTCACAAGGGACTTGATGGCCCCAATCGAGCATCACCATATTCGCATGAGTACCGGCAGCGAGTGGAAGGACGCCCGCAAGCTTACTCAAGATTTGATGATTCCTGCGTTTCTACACAAGGTCGCTGCCCCTGCTATTTACTCCAAGGTCCTAGACTTTTTACACCTTTGGGAACTCAAAGAGAACCTCTCGGAAGGCAGGCCTTTTCACGCGCAGACGGATATCTACCACACCATCCTCGACTCCGTCTGCGCGTTTTCATTTGGAGCTAGCTTTGAATATGCAGCCGTGCGCCCACAGTTGGATCTTCTTGAGAGTTTAACACCCGAGCAGAAGTCGGCCCTGAAGGGAGACATCGACGATCCCGTTCGATTCCCCGAAGCTGCCCTCCACGAGAATCTTGAAGTTAGCTTGACTGCGGGACACGTCCTTGAAAAGCTGATGAACTCTGCTGCTCCTAAGTTTACGCTGTGGTGGGAGAATATGCGGCCTTCTTTCAGGAAGACACTCGCTGCTAAAGATCGGTTTGTTATGGATCAAATTGATAAATCCGTAAAGAAGATGAATGCGAATGGCACCGCGGACGATTCCTGGGTGCGCTCTGCCGTTGACCACATGATTCTGCGCGAGACTGTTCTAGCCGAAAAGAGTGGCCGAGAACCTCAATTCTTCAGTCCTAGCATGAACGACGAGGTAAGAAAACTCGAGATCCCTTTGGAAATTTGATGTTCATCCCTGCTTACACTCGCGCGAATTAGATCATCTTCAACGTCGTTGGAGGTCACGAGACCACGGCCAATACTTTGGTATGGGGTTTGAAGTTCCTAACGGATAATCCCGCGGCACAGTCACGTCTTCGCTCCGCACTTCACGCCGCCCACCCTGCGGCGCTGGCGGAGAAGCGTCTTCCCACCCTGGACGAGATCACCCACACTACCATACCTTATTTAGACGCCACTATGGATGAGATGTTGCGTCTCAGTGCTATGCCCATAACCAGGGAAGCAACCTGCGACACTGAACTCCTGGGACATCGCATACCGAAAGGAACTGTTGTTCTTCTACTGTCCAACGGGCCGAGCTTCCTCTCCCCATCATTTGAGATACCCGAAAGCAAGCGCAGCAAGACCTCCCAGGCGACTAGGGTAAGGCAGTGGAACGAAGCCGAAGACATGCGCGCGTATCGTCCCGAGCGCTGGCTGGCGAGGGGTGAAGACGGCGAGGTCCGGTTTGACGCCACCGCCGGACCGCAACTAGCCTTCGGCCTTGGCCAGCGAGGATGTTCCGGCCGTAGGCTCGCCTACACAAAGATGAGAATCGTCCTTACCCTGATGCTGTGGGAATTCGAACTCCTCTCTGTTCCTCCCTCGCTGTCGAGCTACGCTGCTAAGGATGGACTTGCGCACACGCCGCGACAATGCTTTATCCGTCTGGGAAAAGTGCAGTATTAGATCCTGTTCCCTAGCTCTGCTTGGGAGGGTGGGATTCGGTGTTTGGTTTTGGCGCAAGGTGGTACTTAGGATAGACCTGTATTGAAGCATGTATAGTGACAATTAGATTATATATCCCGAATTAGGTTTTGTTACTACTTGGCTACATTTGTTTTGTACAATACGAATAACATACAGCTGGTTAAATTGTGCTATGTCATTTTGAGGACTTACTGTTTCGTTGAAGAATATCTTGTGTGATTGTAATTTCTGAGCTAGGGTTGTTTTTATATTCCATGATTTGGAATAAGCAATAAATGCAACCAAGATAAGCCATTGTAAGCCGTTATAAGTTCATACTGGGAGATAGTTCAGCCTATAACTTACCAGCAAGAATTTTGATAGTTATAAGCTCATATAATAACCGTTTTTCTTTTCATTTTTTAATGAGATCATAATAGTTGGTAGTTACATATTTTAAAACTTTGGTAAACTATGAAAAGGGCAAAAGACAGAAAAGAAGAAATAAAATGCAAATATTATTTCATAAAATTCTAACATCTGTAAAACAATTACTTTATCAAGCCTCATAACATTATATTTTACGTTTACTATGATAACCTAATTGCTCAAGTAAATCACTGCCATAAAATATTTATACAGTAAGGAGTAAGCTTCAATTCCATTAACCAGTTTTGAATTGGTTTATGGTAAATGGTACATTTTTCTACATACGCCCTCTTTATTCCCTAATCTATACCTGTCGTAATGTCGCTATATACCCATACCTACTCCTATATCAACTAAACCTCCCATATAACTACCCATACTTTATACCGAATGCTTCTCAACTGTAGCGTAGAATTTGTTCTTGTATCTATACGACACAACGGTTAGAGAAAATCTAAAGTTCGGTTTGACGAGTTTACTCACGCTACGAGAATCAAATCCTTCCACTCCATGTCCTTGTCGGTTGTGTTGTGCGGCGTAATCTGGAAGCGTCGGAAGATGTTTCCGAAAACAACCCACATCTCACACCAGGCTAGTCTATATCCTTGTTAGCAATCCTGTTTACTCAACAATGCGTTAGGGAGGGATAGCGGATCTCTTACTCTCTGCCTAAGCATTGACGAGCCCCCTTGTTAAAGGTGGCGAGATACCTGTCGAGCCTAGCAACATCGTCGGTCAACCATCGCTCGGGAATGAATTCGTTCGGCTGATCCCAGACATCGGGGTGGCGGTTAAGGATATAGGGGGACATTTGGATGTTAACCTGATAAGCGCATGGCGCAATGTTAGAAAATATGCTATATCATACAGATGGTTGTTTTACTTACGCCTGGTTGCAAATATTTGCCGTAGAGCTGGTATCCTTCTTCGGGTACGGTTCTGGGAAGACGTCCGGGTAGAGGGCTTCCAGCTCTCAGTATTTCCTTAATGGTGGCAGTCTACCAAATGTGCATGTTAGAAAATCATTCTTCATCTGCAACATGTTTGCAGATATCTTACCAGATAAGGTAGCTTCCTAACACGCTCGTATGTGATCTCTTCTTCGAGCGACGGGAACTCCTCCGAAAGTTCACGAAATATCTTCTCGTAGACTGCGGGCTTGGTGTATACTTGGTAAAGACCGTAAATCAAAGCAGTTGAGGTGGTATCGTTTCCAGCAGTCAGAAGCATGACGAGTTCGTCGTTCAGCTCCTCGAGATTGGGAACTTGGTGGTCCTTGGCGGCTTTTGGGTCCATAAGCATATCTATAACGGCCGACCGCTCGCCGTAACTCTTTTGCAGTTCACGGGTCGCGTTGCTCAGAGGACCTCCGGTCTGGTGCGGATTGAATGTTTCAAGATATCTCCCGGTAATGTTAAGACAAGCCTGTACATAGAGTCAGATAAGCTGGAAGACTGCACGTAAAATCCAGGCACTTACACGCTTGAAGCTGAATAGGGGCATGGGGAAAAGGATATATGTGGTCATGGATGCGGCTTTCAGCGCGATGGCTGAAATCGTGGGGAACGAAGTGCCAACCCATCCTATCTTGAAACCCGCTTCAAGGTATTCCGTGAGCTGGTTGCGAAAGTTGGGCTCCGTAACGCAACCCAACTCATGGCCGAGGACAATCTTGGAGATGATGTCCATCGTAAAGGCTTTTGCGGCAGAAGTGACGCATATCGGCGATGCCTTCTCGGCCGCTTCTTCAAACCTCTTAACCAGCTGCTTCGTCTTCGCCAAAATCGCGGGAGCAAGCTCTTGCACCCTAGAGCCCGACAAAGCCGGGGCCAAGACCTTTCTCCGGACGCGGTGCCTGGCCGGGTTTGTCTCGCCGATCAAAGTGCCCGGAAACGAGATGTTCACATAGAAGTGAGGGTCCTTGGTGAAAGTCGAGTTGGTTCTCACTAGATCTTGGTACACCTCCGGGTCGCTAATGTGTATGGTGTTCACGCCGACCCTAATTACAGGCCCTGAGATGCGCGTAAGCTTGTGGCGCACGATAATCAGACCGGGGGCGTTAACTCACCGTGGAGCTTGTGAAGCCTGTCGATCTCGAACAGCAGCTCTCCATTTCGATAATAATTCCAATACAACTCCCACCACGAATCCGATACAGCGGCAATTTTAGACCCTGGGTATTTCGACAGGGGATGGAAGTATATTCTGTATATCGCTAGGAATACCCAGCATACTAGTGCCCAGAGAGCAAGAAGCAAAGCTCGGTCCAGCATGTCGAAGATGGTCTACTCGTGCTGCGAGTAAATGTGATCTAGAGTCGAGCTTCCCGAGACCACAATTTCCCGCGTAGACTTAGTATTTCTTTCATATATCTATCTCATAAATTTCCCTATCTTTCGATTCATAATCCCACTTCTTCTCAAAATCTCACGACCCGATTACATGTAAGCCCTGCGGCGGAGTACGAGCCCCGATAAATTTCGGGTCATGTTTATCGTCGGCCGATAAATCTCGGTTGGTAGGCTGCCGTGTGTAATATAGGATCTGGGCCGTTCACATTAGCTCAGCCTCATTAGTCCATTAGCTGAAGGATCAGCTGTTGTGAGTAAGCCAATCGCACGCCTCGGCCCATTTCAGCTGTTCTTTTGGTGCGTTTCAATAGCTGTAGACATTTGAGATTGCTGTCAAAGCTGCAGTCAGTTCTAAAAAAAAGAACCACGCGAAGGATCTATGCAAAGTTCATCTTACTAGTGTGGATTCTCGCGTGGAGCGGAAGCGTCCGCGGCAAACCTAACCGTCGCCATGAGGCTCGTACGATCCGGGTTCGGGTTCGTAGGAGTAAGAGAGCGCTGGCGTGGCTGCGCGATAGCTCAATTTCGGTCTATTCTAGGAGGCGTAATTCCGGGGCCACAAGGGAGGGACCATGATACTAGCAATCTCAGAAGTAGCCGGTATAATATAAGTATGGACGTCACCGTAGCATAGCTTGAAGATTTGGAAGAAGAGAAGCATAGAGTTCGGTTTCCTCAGTCTCTTTCCTCCTGGTTTCTTTTCATAGTCTATTTCCTCATAGTCTATTTTCCTCATCGTCTTTCATATAGTCGATCTTTTATTCCCTTGCCATTTCTCTCATATCATCATTTCACCATGCGCGTGTCTTGGCTTCCCCTTTTGGGTTTACCCCTTATTCCCTCAGTATTGGCTGCCCCCAATCCGGCATCGGTCGATAGCTTCCTAAGATCTATCGATGTAGATCCAAGCTCGGTGCCTGCGAGCCTCAAGAACCGGAGCGGCATTGACTTCACCTGTGCCGTCCTCTCTACTATGGGCAACAACGGAAGCAATAGCGCCAACGAGACTCAATACGTCGCTCGCTCTGACAGCGATCTCTACACTCAAGAGGCACACGCTCATTGGTCGGCAACGGCATGGAAGTCTCCTTCTTGCATCTTCTCACCTAACAACGTCGAAGATCTAAGACGCGCCGTTCTTCTCGCTGGTTTCACAAACACCAAATTTGCCGTCCGCAGCGGTGGTCACTCGCCTCTTTCTAACTGGGCTAGCATCGACGGTAGCCTGCTGATTTCTATGACTAACATTAACGACTTGGCATACGATGAGGCTACTCAAACCCAGCGATCTGGAATGGGCAACCGCTGGGGCGCCGTCTACGGGCATCTTGTTCCTTACGGACGAATCGTTGTCGGTGGCCGTCTAAACGTGGTCGGACTTGGCTTAGCCACGGGAGGCGGTCTTTCTCACTTCTCAAACGAATGGGGATGGGTTGGTCAGAATGTTGTTGCATACGAAATCATGCTTTCCAACGGCTCTCACGTCAAGGCCAGCGCTACCGAGAACTCGGACCTGTACTATGCCGCCAAGGCCGGATCCAACAACTTTGGTATCGTCACTCACATCGTCCAGCGCACTTACCCTATGGGCAAGGTCTGGGGTGGTCTCATGCAGTTCCCTGGTAACTCCTCGAAGCAGTTCATGGCTGCTATGGCTGAGTACCAGGCTAAGGGACAATTTGACACCAAGTCTGCCATCCTCCCTTACATCGGCATCAACAACGACACCATCATCGCTACCTTTGTATACTTGGATGGCGTAGTCCGCCCTGATGCTTTCAAGCCGTTCTTCGATATCCCCATCATCGCAGACTTTACCCAGGTTTTCGACAGCTTCTACCAGTTTGCCCAAGTCGACCTCCCCTACGCGGTACCTAGGTGGACTTACGCTGCTACGACCCTAGCCTTTGACAACAACAGCAAGGAGACCTACGAAGGATTGATCGACGTATTCACTCAATTCAATTCGCGCATCGAGAAGGTTACCGGTGGTTCCTTTGCTCCCATGGTTCAGCCCATCTCCAAGAGCATGGTCGACAAGTCGCGAGCCCTTGGCGCTGACCCCATGAACGTAGAGGCCAAGGCGCAACTGTGTAAGTAACAGGATTCCCGAGTATCCCTGCACGTGTATAAATGCTAACAATCTTAGGGGTCGGTATCAACATTGGTTGGTCATTAGCGCAAGACGACGCAACTGTCTACAAGATCCTCCAGGACAGTTTGGCGGCAGTAGAAAGCTACACCAAGGCCCGCAAGGTCCATCTGCCTTTCGTCTTCCTAAACGACGCTTGGGCCGGACAGAAGCCTTTCGTCAACTACGGGCAGCAGTCTTACAACAAGCTCAAGGCCGCCAGCAAGAAGTACGACAGAAGCCAGATGTTCCAGAATCTGGTTACGGGCGGATTCAAGCTATAGTCGATAGACCATCTCTACTTGTCTACCACTTCTGGATAACGATTTATTTTTATTTTTATAGATTACTGTTGGGATATGGATGGGTGCATAACCTTGTAAAGTAGCTGCATAGACCGAAAAGGCTCGCATCTAGTGTTGGGCGTTGTACGAGGCGATGAGGGGTCATATATTTTTTTTGGCTACTATTCGATTCGCTACGATTAGATGTTTTAGTAATAACAAGATTCTCATTACGATGTACGACTAAGCTTGAATGGAGTTGTTACCCCTGACTGCCCTGAGAACCTTCTGCGGGGTGAATGCTACGCTGTTCTTATTTGCCGGCTTGGAGTCTGAAAATAGTAACATACGTCACGCAGAATAAGATTGGATCTATGCCCAGCCACGAGATCGTCAATGTGCGTCGTGGGTATTTACCTAATATGTATTTAGCTAAGGCGACAGTCCGGGTTTCCCGTCCGGGTTTCCCACGTTCTTGTACAAGTCTTTAGTGGGTTTTCGCACGAGCCGACCTACCACTGAGAATAATGAGAAGATGTGGAAATTGGGAGAGGCATTGTAGGGCATGTTATATTTAGATCTGGGGAGCTACATAATAATTTCCCAATACAACATCCTTTTAATTTAGAATATCGTGAGTGTCGATAAGCGGTGCGCGAATATTCAAGTAAATATCCGAATAGTTATTTTTCCTAGCCCGGTAAACTACCTAATCTAACCTATACACCATTGATATTTTCCATGTATATAGGTAGGTAGGCATCATCATACAGTTTTCGTACCAATCCAGAGCGGAGTTGAAGTGCAGGTGAGGAAATTTCCTTGCCGACTACACGTCGCTTGGACATAACCAACACCAATAGCATCGAACGATGACCTGCCGCGTTGTCAGAAACATTAAACATTATTTCTCAGAACAGAAAATCCCCTTTTCACTTACGATTCGCTACAGTTCCAGTGTTGCTTAATAGTCAACACGTTTATTTGCCGATCGAAGCTGAAAGTTGCCGTCGTCGTAGAACTCTCCTCCGCATCCGACTCGCAAGACCCAGTCAGAGTATTGTTCTGGCTTCCCGAAGTCGTGCAGTTGAAAACATCCGTATTGGCCATATTTCTCAAGATGAAGGACGGACCAGTATCAGACGAGGGCGCGCTCGAGGACGGCGAGCCGGGAACTTGTTCGTAGCGACGTAGCCAGTTCTCGAGCTGCCACGATTGGTACCTTCTTGCGTTATCCGCGCAAGAATCCGCCGCCAAACGAGCCGGGCTTCCTGTAGTAATAATATTCAGACCTTCACCCTTTAACATGCAGCTGGTGCCATCCTCCTCGCTCGTCGTGCAATCTAGATCTAGATGGAAAGATCCTATAGCTAAGGCGTCGGATCTGTCCCCGTGATGTCAGCTTCGTCTTATGTCTAAAGACCGTAGCAAATATTAGACAACACTTACCCTTCTTTGTCTGAGCAGGTAAACGTATGAGATATATACATTGTACGATTATTCTTCCAGTCCAAGGCAAACGAGACGGCGGTATCTGAAGTCTGGCCGTTGCCAGCCCAGATGCAATCGCTCCAAATGATATTTCCGTCTTCGTACCAACCTTCCCACGATTCGGGCCACTCTGCAACACACTCGAAAAAGGTGCCCATAGTGCGGTTGCCAGGCGCTATGCTCACGGCTATCGTTGCGGCTCCCTTCTTCCCAGGTTCTGCGCCATCATACCTTGCGGCGCCCACATGCCACTGGTACTCCGAGGACGCGTTCGTGCCGGTGCCGCATACTCTAGAAGCAACTACTCCGTGAGTAAGCGGCAGCGCCGCTGCAAAGGCTAACACACCGTTTCGCATCTTGACTTTTTTTTGGCCTGGACTACTTAAGCGTACTAAGGAATATAAATCGCGATTAAAACTTCCCTGTAGGCATGATTTCTATGTAATAAAGGAGTGTGTATAGTTCGGTACGGGTGATCTTATCTGGCTTTTAGTTATACCGGCTTGATCAAATGCCGGGACGTCTAGGCCGTTACATTGCAATCTGGAAGAGTATGTGGAAGATTAACCCTATTTTGCCGTAGCAGGAGAAGATCTCCAATCACCCATATATTAGGCACCTCTTATCTTGGACAAATTATAACATGAGGTGAAGATTCGAAAGTAAGCGAGTGTGCAGAGGTGGCGTACTTTATATCTTTGATTCCAAAGACTATACAGCACCAGTATGATTTAATTTACCCCTTTATATCACCTTGGAGTTTCACTGTCAGAAATCAAATATGTCTTGATACATGCCATCGATCGAAAACGGGGTTCTGCCAAGAGCAATGAGTGAGTGATAGGGATTTGTTATGTGAGATACTCCCGGGTAAATTCGTTAGGATGGGCAATTTCCCTTAGCTCAATATACCTCGATATTGTTCAGGTCAGAAAACCAAGTCTGGGAACCGGTATCTCGGCATTGATTTGAGAAGAGGGCAAGTCTCTCATATATAGGAATTAGGGTCCAGATTATATGCGCCAGCAATAGTCTGGCTTCGCTCCGTCTGAAGCTTTCCCATCGCCGCAACCCTTTTTTGTAGACTGGTTAGATAGTTCTGTCCAAGATGCAGTGGAAGGCTTTAGCCCTGGCGCTTCTTGCGGGGGATGTTGCCGCCCAGCAGATGATACGCTTTGGCTGCTCCCAGCTTGTCATTGAGCGTCTAGACCCTCTCGTCAACCCCGGAACGTTGCCGTCGCCGCACGTCCATCAGATCGTGGGTGGGAACTCGTTCAACTCGAGCATGGACCCGGCAGTGCACGATCTAGTCAGAGACTCTACCTGTACCAGCTGTACGTTCTCCGAAGATTTCTCCAACTACTGGACGGCGGTTCTATACTTCAGGGCCCGCAATGGGACATATAAGCGCGTACCGCAGTTTGCGAATGTAGGGCTCCGACAAGATGGTGGAATCACAGTTTACTATATCCCGCCCTACGACGGAAAGACGAAGGTGACAGCTTTCAAGCCGGGTTTCCGTATGCTCGTCGGAGACGCCGCGCTTCGCAAAGCCGATGGTATGCAGCGCCAGCTATGTCACCGCTGTTACACAACCGCGGACGGCGCCGGCCCCGCTGGATCGACGGGTGGCGCGCCGTGTACCGGTTCAGATACGCAGAGCTTACCCCCTAAGCCCTGCGCCGGCGGTATTCGCACGACGATTACATTCCCTACCTGTTGGGACGGAAAGAATATAGACAGCCCAGATCACAATAGTCACGTTGCCTATCCCAGCGAGGGTTCCTTCGAATCGGTAGGCAGCTGTCCGGAGAGTCACCCCGTCAGGCTACCGCAGTTGATGTACGAAGTTATGTGGGATGTAAGCATCAACTTTGCTGTCTTAATATATCGAGTAATAGACTGTTCCGAGGGATTGTTGCTAATTGGTATTTTTCGTAGACGACGCCTTTCAACGACCCGGAGCTATGGCCCGAGGATGGCTCGCAGCCATTCTTCTGGAGCACAAATGATGAGTGAGTCTTCCAAGAAATATTAGAACTTTGTCATGTACTAAATTGGCACGTACAGAACTGGATATTCGCAGCACGGTGATTACGTCTTCGGGTGGAAAGACGATTCCCTTCAACGCGCTCTTGATGCTCGATGCAACAACGCTGTCTGCAGTGAGCTCAAGGTTCAGACGTCGGAAGAGGCCCTGAAGTGCACCAAGGCTCAAACAGCAGTGGAGGATGTTGATGGATGTGAGTCATATTTACTACAGATGTGCGAACATGGCTAACATATCACTAGGGTTGGAAAGTATCCCGGGTAGTTAGAGTAGCTTGTATGGTTATAACATGATCTCCCTCTACATCCTTGTTTTTAGACGTCTTGTTATATTGTACATGGAGTCTGATCTAGTCGCGATAGATACTACTTACACTCAGTATCTTATATAGAAGCGTACTCAAATATGAATCATATCCCTAACCAAATAAAGCGACGTGAATATTCCTATTTCAGGTAGGTGGTCAAGCTGTGAGGAATTCCCGTGTTTGCCTATTACTATTGGTGCATGTTTTACATACCTATGTATCCCAGGGGCTGTAGGTGAATATGGGATGAATATAAGACAAGAGACGAGGGTATTTAAAAGCCATTATATAAACCTAACCTTTATGGATATAGCCATAGGGGTCATAATCACGACTAATGTCCCAAAATCCGGCGAGTGATCTTTGAATTCACTCTAGGTAGTTCTTCAGAAACACCTATAAGAGGTATAGATGGTATAATTCGTATGACGAGAAACACTGAAATTAGTCGGAACTAAGAGTCCATCAACTCTTTAAAGTATCATATCATTATATTAGCAAATCGCCAGCAACGCTTGGCAATTCCCATGAGGTACTTCGTCCTGTAGATCCTGTAGCCATGCTGACTACCTCAAGACCTGAATTGACTTTGATATGAACCAGATATTTGTACACTTTGGTTTTGGTCCTGTTCGTACTATCGCCTAAACTGTCGCGTCGCTAGATACCTCTTAATATGGCCATGTTGATGTTGGCCATGTGGCATCATCTGGGGGGGTTATGGTAGGGGTAATGTGACCACTGGTCCCATCAAACCGGGAAACTGCTGGAGACCAAGATTAGCTAGTCAGATATAACCACCGGCTGGACGAATAGTCGAAGGGTATGTATCCCATAGTCTAAATTATAGTGAATATCTCAGCCGCACAAGAACACCGACTTAGGTAAAACTACATTCGTCACGCAGCATACCATGCTACTCCACGTCAGGGCCATGCCAAGGTAGACGAAAATCCTTATCTTGTTCGCTTCTGATTCCTATAATTAGTGTTGATTATGCGCTGGCATGCTTTAGCACTATTCATTATAAATGGTTAATATAAATCATTTACCTACAAATCTCTCGTCTCTACCTGCTCTACCTGCTCTAGCTGGCTTATTGCGATTAGATATAATATCGTCATAAAAATGATTGAAAACTGGTCTATCCTCCAGGTATTGCTGGCCTCGACTTGTTTATTGTCAATCGGGCTGGGAGATGCCCAAGTCAACAGAGTCGCATGGCTGGATAACGTCAGGACACACGATCCGACCTCTCCAAAACCAGTGGCCGCCCATGCTGCCTCGCATGAGGTCGAACATATTGTTCTTGTCGAAGACGGGTAAGCTTTACACCTTCTAATGTCGTCGTCGCTAGACCTAAGTATTAACATCGAATTCAGCGCTGAATCACAGGTCAACATTTCGGTCTTCTCCGGGGTAGGGAAGAGAGAACCAAGGAGGAAGTCTCATAATAATCACTCCGGCAATGATACCCAAACTGATGATTCGAGTGTTGGAAAAATTGATATCTCTGTACCACTATCCATCGGTGCGAGTCTTGTGATTATAATAGTATTCTTTTAACTTTTAATACTAGAGTAAGTATACTTATGTCTTTAATATTGATGTCTTTAATATTGAACCTTAAGCCCTGATGCGCTCAACACGCGTTGCGTTCAGCCTTAAAATCAGGTACTTACCTTAGGTACCTACCTTACATAGGTACCTGGTACATTACCTAAATTACCTAACTGCATTACAGGGATATACATACCGGATATGCTATGTACTGACGTAACTAACATTATGTAATGCGCCAGGGGTTGAGGTTGAGAGTGGACACTCAATTAAATCTCGAGGCGATTAAAAAAAAAAAAAAAAAAAAAAAAAGGCGACTGGCTCTTCACTTACATCACCAAATCACTAACCTCACTTACATATAACTGGAAGGCTACGATAACTTACGGAACTCCTGTGGATGAATGCTATGAGTCCGCATTATAAGATTTCTCATTCAGATCGACCTTAGAACTGTATGCTCTACTAACCTTCCGCACATCTCACATGTTTCATTTCCGTGGTAATGCGCGGTACACCTTCAATCCCCGCTCTATCTTCTATCGACCGCCCACTATTGTCCTAACGAGGCGCACTGTCGCCTCAACACCTCTCGATAGGTCAGCAATAACAGCATCAGGCCCTGTAGCTGAGAAGCTCGCTGCTACGAACCTATGGACACCAAAGGGCTCACGAGAGAAATCTGACAAGACCTCGCAACGCGAGCCAACTGGTGACAAGACCAGGGTTAACATCGTCAGCGAAAGATTATGCGACAATATCTTCTCATACGTCGGGAAGTCCCTTAGGCGACATAGAGGATGCGACCTCATCGATATATACCCGGGCGCCGGGCTTTGGAGCCAAAAGCTACACGACTTTATCGAGCCGCGCTCTCACATCCTGATGGAACCCGATGCAGAATTATACAAACCCTTTCTCAAACCTCTCCTGGATCAGCCCAACACTACGCTCGTTCCGGCGTCCGGGCTCGTCTGGCGGGAGCTCAACTCTATCCTAACCCCAGAATACCTGCCGCATCAAACCATACCTGACGCGGCTAAGTTGTCTCGACGCAACGATACTCTGCTAGTCACTGCAAATATTGCTTTTCACCCTCAGAAACGCTTTCTGTCCTTTACGTCCATGGCGCATTTGGTTCTCTACCAATTTATCGAAAATATCCGAATTAGCGGCCTATTTCAACGTTACGGGCTCGTCCGCATGCTGATATGGACTCGGCACGATGACAAGTACGGAATACTCCCTAAGGTGATGCAGAAGCGGAAGAAGCTGGCTTTAGATACCGAGCTCTGCTGTGAATGGGTGCACGAGGTGTGCGGTCGTGAAGGTCCCGATAATTCTTGGTACGTCCGCGATAGCAATCTCGACGAGAGTAGTAACTTGGCTACATGGAAGAGGATGAGTACTGCGAAGATGCGAATACCTGAGGGGAGGTCTTCCGAAGGTCTGAAGGAGGCTCGATTAAATGCGAGGTCAAGGAAAAATCTCACACCCGGAAAAAGGATCCCCGTATTTAAGAGGCCCTACAAGGATGTATTGGATAAGCTCGAGACAACACATGAGATAGAAATATTCACCCAAGATTCGGATAATTACAAGAGCATGCGGAACTATCGGTGGAGGGCCAACTGGGAGGAAAAAAAGCACCGGCGTATGCTTGATCTAATAAAGAACTACGATGCTATCAATACTCTCTACAGATCGGGCAAGGCGGCGCCCGGGGAAATCGAAGCCCTTGAAAGGGAATTACAGGAAAACCTAGAGGACAATCCCAAGGGGTTTATTAAGGAATTTGTCACCTACAAGGACAATCTTCACTATTATAGGCAAGACCCGCCCCTGCTCCTTTGGGATCGCAGACCATACGAACCGATGGTTATAAAGCCTGAAGAATTCTTCCCGAATATTGAATGCAGCTTGCTAGATATCCAACCGAAAAGAGTCAATCCGTTACTCCGCCAGACCGGAGAAGGTTCGAATAGGGCGGGTGATAGCTTCGAACTAATTCTAAGCTCGCTGATGAGCCACGGCACCATTCCCATCAGCCAAGCTTTGGATGCTCTCATGCCAGGGGCCGCCGATTACATCATGCCCCGTTGGAGGACCGCCAGAGACTTGAGACACGGCGGAGTGGTTACCAATGTAAAAGCTATGGGGCTGACACCGAGGTTGCTGAATGCGCGGCAGTGGGAAGAGCTTATAGAGCTCTGGATGGAGTGGCCTTTCCGCCCTGATTTTTACGAACTCGTCGCTCGCACCCACGACGAGTTAGCCATAGAAGATAACATTATGGCTCCCGAGTGATTCCAATGAGAGATAGCGTTTCGCAATCCAGGCTTCCTACGGTAGGTGATGGGGTTGCCGTACGTACCTATAGAGACCGAATAATGTATGATTGTAAGAATCTACATAGAGACGTTAATAAGTGTTGGCAAGATGGGTTACGGCCAACTTCTCTGCGCCACCTGGTAAGATATTCGTATTCTTTGCCAGATCATGACATTATCGTGAGACGACAGAGCAGAAGAGAACGTGACCCTCGTAGCATACGTTTATATGTTTAATATCAGCTTTACAGCTCTATAAAATTAGGATTGTAGTGATGCGAGCTCAATCATTGATACTAGATAGCCAGCAAGCCGTTTCCGTGCCGTTCTAGTTTCATACATGCCGTTGTCGAAAGGACTCGACGGGATGTTCGGCGAGGTGTTGCTAATAAGTTTCATAACCCCGAGATACAATTCTAGAACCCTTCTTTTCAACGCGAAACCTTTCTTTTTATAGAGTCGCCCCTTTTCTTACTTTTACGAGCTGGCACCCTGGAGCTGCCCGAAGCAAAATGAACCCACTCAACAAGCTGACGATTTCAGCTTGGCTTTGTGTAACCCTGGTTTAAGTCGTTGCGATAGGATGTCTCGTCGTAAAATGGGTTAATAGGAGAGTCATATTTGCCTCAGTAGGCTCGATAGTGTCAACAAGGTTACTATGTATTTATCTGCTCTCTTTCTTAACGTTACTTATAGTTACCTAGCCTTTGGCCCATAGTTGAGTAACTAATAAAAGTCAGCACTTTTACTTACGTACCTAGGTTAGGTTAGGTACTTACCCAGACGAGCTGTGCAACAACGTATAGTTACTACATCTGACCTACGCTAATTAATTGAACACATCCGATGCAGGTTTATATTTGTAGTATATATATGCGAGCGGAATGTTACATTTTCCTAAGCTGCTAAGAATACCTTACAGTTAACTACCTACCTAAGTATACTACAAGCTGACTTGTTTTAATTTATCGATAATACCACCCTACCAATGATAAGATCAAAATTTAGATTTAGATATGATTCTAAAAAAAAGTGACATTCTACGGGGTACTATAAATGGACCAAATAAACCGAAACTTTATCTTGTTAATTAACGAGCTGTTCTATTGAGATTCTGGAATGTTGATGCTGCTATTTAAAAGATGGAATTGGGGTGCATCTGAAATTGAGGTTAGCGCGGGGTTAGCTCGGTGCTAGCTCAGTTGGAGAATGGAACGTTAAGCTTACCTAGGTACCTACCTATGTATATAGGAGGCACATAAGGTATATGCATGTACCTAACTTTATATAACCTTTTGTCTGGGGTAGTTAGGTACTTTTAGGTACGTTAGATACTTCTCCATTATTTCTCTCCTCCTTTTATATGTCTATAAACAAGAAGACGAAAGGAGATGGAGCTCCGTGAGAAGTGGTCTCCAATGATCGGCTCGGCCCCGTGATGATTAGGTGTTGCAGTGGAAGCTCCCCCTTCCCACCGGGCTGGTACAGCGATGTTCAATCGATCGGCCGCCCAGAGGATGCACATAAGCCAAGTGATGAGCAGAGGCAAGTTAGATTAACGGAAATATGGGGACTTGGGAATGTTGCACGTTTTTCAATACGGTATCGGCCCCTGTTTATATGTATTCGCTATTAGGTGAGCGCACGGAGCTGTGCCGCTTCCAGCTATTATGGTAGAGATTAGAAGAACCACATATGCGTGTGATGCGCCAAAGGTGGTTCTAAGATAAGATGTAGAATAATTAAATTATAACCTTGTGTCGTTACAGATTGATGCCTAGGTACGTATCTGTTTGTATAAGAATATCTGACATATACTAATACATAATGTATATACCTTAGGCACTTGCATGTATGTATGAGGACACGTAGATACCCTTATTATCTTCCCGGAATTATAATATACAGATTTCGGTCAACCTCCCGGCATATCTATAAGGACATCTGTACTAATCTGTACTATAGTAAGGCCCAGGGGACTGGTATTCAATTTTACTGCATCCCTTAGCCCCACGGTCCGTAACATGTACAGTACGGTAAGACCCGTATTGTGCGATATACCTCTATGTACAGTACATTACATAGGTAGGTAGGTAGGTACCTAGGCAGGTACCTAACTGTATCGTACTTTGTACCAATATAGGTGAGCTTACATGCAGTATCGAACGCACTAAACCCACCTTTGCCTAGAAGCGTCTTCGCTCGCGAGTTTATCAAATTTCCCCCAATAAGCCCATCTGTACCTAACCCGTAGACAATTTGAAGTCTCTTTTTTTGCTTTTCGCAAACTTAACAAACTCTGCAAACTTTACAAAACTCTGTTCCAACTGTTTCTTCGTCCAATGTTCAACGACAAGCCAAAGCGCAATTTGTACCTGTTATGAGATACATGTAGTCAAGTTACATGGTTAGTAAAACCTGTCACCCAGATCTACCCACTGAATTACACCACTCCGCCTCAGTAATTGTATCATATTGTCTCCTCATAATAATTTCTCTCGAGTCCTATTCTCTCCCCTACATATTCAAATATTAAATCTGTTTACTCCTAATTTATTCTCGTCTGTCTTTTACCTCCACTGTCATTTTTTCTTCTTAGCCTTTCCTTGTCAACATTTGACATCCAATCGTTTGTTCCGAAAACAAAGTTTTGATATTGTTCTACCGATTTTCCCTTCTATCGTTGCCGACACATTTGACTTTTAAGCCAGACCGGGAGCCTCGCCATCTTACTCTACTCGAACTGTGCCATCATATTCGAGCGCACTACGAAACGTTTCGTCCCATCTTCGAAGTAGTGTCGACGTCCCGGCGCCGTCTTTAGGGCGACCGACGTCTCTCCCTTGCCATGCGCTCGCCCGCTTTTCCACCGAGGAGGCCCTCTCACCTCGTCCGATATGTTTTCCCGGCTGTACTCCTCCTCGGTATCTTCTACTACCTATCTAATAAGCCCCAAGAGGCCCTCTCACCTAATACCTATTTAACCTCCGATCGCGATTCCTTTAAATCCTCATCATCGTCATCTCCCCCCGCTTCTTACGACCATGGGACACCTGACGTTGTTGATCAACCCGCCAAGAATCCGTCCACCAATCAGAAACCCGTCCACGGAGATCTAAACGACGGAAATCGAGACGACGAAGACAAGCCAGTACACGAATCGAAACCTGTCCAACCCGCTCCGCCAAAACCCGCTACGGACCACCCTATCGACCAGCTAATCAAAGTTGCTGATAAAGATTTCGGAGACCTACTAGCTAAAGAGTCGAACACGCTGGCCGAAGCTGCCCAAGCTTATCGTAAACGTCGCGGGCGGCATCCGCCTCCAGGTTTCGATAAGTGGTACGAGTTCGCCAAGGAGAATGATGCAATCCTAGTCGAAGATTTCTTTGATCAGATTTATCACGACCTGAATCCATTTTGGGGGCTAGAACCTTCCAACATTCGCGATGAGGCAGGGGGCTACGAGATGGTTATTAACATACGCAACGGCAATGCGAGTGCCGAAAGCGACTGGTTTTGGACTCAGATCTGGTTAGATATGATTCAGACTATCGAACATTTGCTACCCGATATGGATATCGCTCTAAACGCAATGGACGAGCCGCGACTTGTAGTGCCGTGGGAGGATATCAATGCCTACATGAAGAAGGAAAAGCAGAGCCGAATTTTGAATCCCGCTAAAAGTATCGTCAACGAGTTCCAGAAGTTGCCACCTCCGGTTAAATACGACGAAAAGTCCGTTCATACTGTCGATAAGGACTGGGAAGACACAAGTAGGACCAACCCATCCATTGCTACCCCAGGGCAGACATGGAGAATATTCGTATATGCTAACAGTTTATAGACCCGTACTGGTTAATCGCTCGCCGAGGTTGTCCTCCCGACAGTCCTGCCCGCAAGCAGCCCGCCCTTAGTTCGTTCGACGGTAAACCTAGCTTCTCCCCGGAGTGGGCAACACCCCATCAATACCAAGGATATGTGGCCAACTCGACGCTCTCGTCCGAATTTTGCCATCAGCCCGACCTACAAGGACTTGAAGGTATCTTCATACGGCCCCTCACAACATCTGCGACTAAGGTTCTCTTCCCGATGTTTGGAGGAAGCAAGCTGGCCACTAACAACGAGATCCTTCTTCCGGCTCCCATGTATTGGAACGAGGAGGAAAGGTTTACCGGAGGAGACGACCACGGGCCGTCGTGGGATAGCAAGATCGGCCCTCTCATCTGGCGCGGCGTGGCTACCGGCGGCCGCAACACTGAATTGAATTGGAAGGGTTTTCAGCGGCATCGGTTCGTCTCGATGAACAACGGAACCAAACTGAAGCGCGCCGAAGAGGATACCGAGGCGCCAATCAATTTTGAACTGCCTAGCACGACCTATAATCTGGCGGCGCAAAAGGAGAGGCGGCTGGGTGCATGGGTTGAGCAGTGGTCCGATGTTGGCTTCACCGACCTGTTCTGTGACCCTGACATAGAGCCCGAGCAGAAAGACGGGCGCTGTATATATACTGACGAGCACTACGAAACCGTACTCGGCCAGAAGCTAGCGGTTCAGTTTTACTACAAGTATCTTCCCGACATTGATGGCAACTCATTCTCGGGACGTTACCTCGGCTTCCTACGAAGTACGAGTTTGCCCATAAAGAGCACGCTTTGGCGCGAGTGGCACGACAGCCGCCTGGTAGCCTGGAAGCACTTCGTGCCGATGGATAACCGATTCAGCGATTACTATGGTATCATGGAATATTTCCTCGGCTACAACGACGGCGTTCCTGGACACGACGAAGTAGCCGAGAAGATCGCGATGGACGGAAAGGCCTGGGCCGAAAAGGTGCTCAGAAAAGAAGATATGCAGATCTATGTGCTGCGGTTGCTGTTGGAGTATGCGCGAATCGCGGATGACCGAAGAGAAACCATGGGCTGGGTTGGCGATTTGTTGTCGTGAAGAGGAGATACGAAGGACGAAAGTAACTAATCATGACACATACCCTTTAGATGACGAGCTTTAGTGCATAACATCGTCGATATACCAATAAGAGGACGGCGTTAGGGTGGGTTAAGGCATTGAAATGTTGGCATGCCAGCATGGAGCAGATGAGCTCGCGAGCATATGGCCAATTGGTCTCGGTAACCGGCGTTGGATGGTGTATTTAAAGACGAACATGGAAGTCTCTAGGTTGCTACCGCAGGTAGCAAAATTAAGAAAGTACCTCGATATTTTATTTTTATATTCGACGATTGAAGGTATTTCTCTTTTACATCTACGTAGACTTAGTATGACATTGGAGAGGTCGATATGATGGGTTTCACTTCCCCTTCAACAATGGCAACGACTATAATAGTCTATAATAGTCTTAGACCAATGCACTCACTCGGAACAATGGCATCTTAGCAGTGCTAAAACTTGTATATTCACTTGTATAGTCAGGGGTCTCCGTGTTATAGGATATATTTACTTCCTTTATACTTCCTTTAGGCAGTTGAAAACACGAGACACGGATGTAGGTGCATATGAGTAAGGTAGGTAACTATAGGTTAGGTAGGTAGTAGGTATGTTGTAAGTATGACGTAGCGGCAATGTTCTACAACCTTACGACAATTAGGTACATAATACCCGCCAATTTTAGTAGGTATTGTACATAATCAGGACTTGGGCAAGTTCATGGAAGCAATGGTAAGACAATGATGTCTCTCTGATGATGCTTCTGTGCCTTTTTATCCGATAAAACCGAGACGATGCAAAACAAGAAAGAACTAAGGTAATTGAGGTGGGCGAGGTAAGCCTTTCGCGGAAAGTCTGTTCCTTGAATTACGTACCTTGGCGTCTGGTGGACGTCATCACACATGTCAGACATGCCGGACGCAGCGAGCTTTGTAAAAAGAGTCGAAGCTACCTACGACGGTATAAAGCTGGGGATATCTTCTCGAGTATTCAATTATCTTCCATATTCAATACATATTCAATACATATTCAATACAACTACAACTTTCTATTCTAAACAATCTTAACCATCTATATTACTTGCAACAAGTATTCAACCTTCATCAACTATGGATGCCCTCAAGAACTTCGCCAGCGGTAACTCGCAAAACACTAGCAACACCGGCAACACCAATGCCCAACAGACTGGCCAGAAGAAAGATGTCGGAGACAAGAGTAAGTTGTCGCATTGCATTTGCGCAAGTCGTCTCTTTTAAGTCGGATGCACTAACATTATAATTTTCTAGTCGCCGAATTCATGAACAAGAAACAGGGAGGCAAGCTCTCCGACTCGCAACTAGAGACCGGCACAGACAAGGCTCGTGATATGTACGAGAAGGCGACTGGGTACGTTAAGGCCATCCCACCCCTAATTTCTTGATCACGGGAAACTAACCTTGGTTGACATGTAGAAGCAAAGTCAACTCCAAGTTTTCCAACTAGGTGCGAACATTGCGCAGTCGAATTATGAGGGACGTTATACACTTGATATAATATCTAATCGATCATTCACATGGAAAGGTTACCAACAAATACCTATAGATGGTTATAACTGACACCTGGATTGTCCAGTAACTCGTCGTTCCTTAACCGAAGAAAGTGTATGAAGCAATGGGCTATCAGTTAACCTTTCCCGGAAAGATGGTATATCTCTCAAATAGAAAATACTTAAATAAATAAAAAGTTCAAACTCAACATTTGTACACCGAGACGCCGGGAACTTTCGTCGTATAGCCAATCATCTTGCCCTAGTAAATAATCAGGCTCTACGCGTAGTAGAGGTAGACCATGAGACATAAACACATAAACCCGTACGTTGAACCGTACATCTCGTATAAAAAATATTAAGCGTCATCGTAAAACACTTGTATTGCCATCACGATAATCCACAGCAAAAATATGCACCCGATCAGAGCGAAAGCAAAAGCTGCTTGCCACGATTGGCCTTCCGACGATGTGTTAGCAAACAACCAACCAAAAAGGGTAGACGCGCAGTAAACGACTTTTATTAGAAGGGATCAAGCCTGGGAATTGCTCACATATAGATCTTTGCTCTAGCCACGCCAATGTCCCTTGGTTATTTCCCGTCGGCGACGTGCTCCATACCAAAAGGTTACAATTCGAGCTGACGGAACCGACGGGGCCCCATAATTCAATACTGACGACGATGAGCCCTACCATCCAGAGCACGAAGAACATGAAGGAACCGAGTATGACTATAGAAGGGAGGAGCCGTCGTTGGGCTATGAGCCATAGCAGCGTAGCGACGTAGACTATTGTTAATGCTGAGACGGTGATAAAATAAGGGAAGTACCTGCACGAGAACAGACATGGGTTAGAAAACAATCCACCCCATTACAACTAAGAGGGCGAGTGATATAAGATCTGCTCACCAGGGAACATAGAGTTCCAGCTGTTGTTGAACGCCGATAAAGGTAGCGAAGACACCAATGATGCAGCACGACGCGACCAGCATTATGAGCATCCACACGTTAAGTTGGATAGCGGGCCAGTGGTATCTATGAATACGGGCTATCCGGCGCTCGTAGATGACCGAGTCGGAACCAGTTACTATTGATGCAGCCATTATAGATTTGGGGTTGTGTTTGCTTGCTTGCGGTTGCGCGTTTGACTATCGAGTTCGTCTCCTCCCACGCCGAAGGCTTGCAATCCGGAGGTTAGTAATTCGCCTGTCCTAGTTTTCCTAAGACGAAGTCAAACTGGCGCTCTTCTCCTCGACAAGAGCGTCTTCTCTAAGAGGACTCGATATATTCGACCCGATAATATACCTATATCCAACCTCGTCTTCGTCGTTCCCGGGCCCGTCCCGCCTAGCGTTTGTGTCTTAGACCGTTACAAGGAATAATATTTATATCTCCTTAAGACGTCGTTTGTCCAAACAGGAATTGGGTTTGCGACGGCGGTTCTGACGGCGACAGCTCTAATAGTCGAGGGGCGTCGTCATATGGCATGGGTTAATTGCAATTGTGATTGTATTAATTTCCCGAATCGCCTTAGTAACTCGCAGAAGCCTGACGAAGTAGAACCACAGCGAACTGCCAGCTCAGAGCTGCTTCGCACGCGGTCGATCGATGTGCTAGAGGGCTGATTGGGTCGCCTTTTCTGAGCAAATGCAGGTGCCGGAGCCCCGCGAGACTGGGCGCATCCGCTTTCGATCGTGCGCTGTCAGATGGTCAGACAGTCAGACAGGCTCGCGCAGAAAAGAAATACGTGGTACAGCCTCGAGTCGTTGTCGTCGCGTGAGGGATAGACTGTGGAATTGGAACTACAGCTACACGGGCTGATACGAAATATTCGTAATAGCCAACAGGGCGTTGGGCGGTGGTTTTTTTTTTTCGGCAGCGCACCGAGACACCGAGAGGGATGAGCGGGACCTGTTGGTGTATCGTTGGTACCTTAATTACTGGTACCTATACCTGGTTAAGTATGTACTATTAGGACCAGGATAAAGGATCGGCAATGGATACCTAAGGTAGTTGATAAATGCTGTATAGGTAACCATGAGATATAGCTTGAAAATTGAGAATTGAGAGAATTGTTTATTCAAGGAAGATTAAAGAGATAATAATTTAGCGCTTATAGATTTGCATCGGGAACAGGCAGGTACCTAGCCTAATAACCAAATTCTACATACATGTACCTTACGTTACTTACCCCAATACGTATTTGCGAGGTAATTACCTGTATGAGGAACATTGTAACGCTCTTTCTCTTTAGCACCTATCAAATCGCAGAAGGGGAAAAATGTGATAAGAAACTGTGGTGGCTGGTAATTTATAAGGCGCAAAACCGTGCTGTGATTTCTTCCTATAAGATACAAGATCATCAGGGCTGCCAAGACAGACTATGCTACTTCAAAGTTGGGGACAACCTACCCCTGGATATACATACATGTACATATAGATGTACCATATAACTTGATGTACTTATACCAAGGTGTTGCCTGACCTTATACGTTTTATTCTACTTCTATGTGATGATTCGATGCCTAACTTCACTTCAGCTACTTAAGTCACCCATCGACCAATATACTTCAATGTTGGAGTTCATGTTTCATTTCGTCGTCTTTGCTAAGGCGTGTTGCCCATTTCTTCTATGAGTAGACGCCGTCTAGTCTAGCTTAACCAATCCCCAGACCATGTGTTAACATATGTATCCCGTATATATACTAAACCGCCGCCTTGATGATCCGAGTATCATACCTAATGGACCGGCATACTCATTTCTGCTGTGGTGTGAATAGATTCTAATTGTATTCGCGGTTTTAATCAATTTATAGTAAAGATTCACCCAGAGCGCATCGTACCAGCGAACATCCTGCACGAACCGTTTCGTGAGCTCCCCGTTCGACTTCCGGTGCCAAACTCGGATTGACCTCAACGAGATCTACGGCGACGAGGCTTCCTGTCAGATGAACGCTCTCGCAGATGTAGTCTCCTTCGCGCAGCGTTAATCCTCCCCTGACTGGCGTTCCCGTGCTGGGTGCCCACATCGGGTCGAGCGCATCGACGTCGAAGGATAAGTGGATTGGCGTGTCTTCACCGATATGCGTTAGCGCCATCTCCACGACGCGACCGATACCATATCTATACCAAGGCGCAGCCGCATGTCAGCACGTTTCTAGACAATAAACGAAGAGGGGAGAGGGAGGGGAGGGTCTATACCGATCTACATCGAACATGCTGAATGCCTTGATGCCGTTCTCGCGAAGGATCCGCTTCTCGCCCGCATCTACGTCTCGCAGACCGATATATACGAGCTTCTTCACGTTGACGAGATGCTCAGGCTTTAGCCAGCCAAAGTACTCGGGCTTTTCTTCCTTGGCAAGGCCGGTCACGAAGCTCACGGGCATCCCGTGGACGTTACCAGAATCGCTCGTCTCGGGCGTGTTAATGTCGGCATGTGCGTCAACCCAGATAACCGCGATCTCACGGCCGAGCCGTTCCCGCGTAGCCTTGGCTGAACCGGCGACAGTGCCGATTGCGATGGAATGGTCGCCACCTAGGGTCAAAACCATTCTTCCTGCTTTGGAATGTTCGTAGACCTGATCGCAGAGACGCTGGGTGACGCTGCTTACAGCCTTGGGGTTCTTCATATTTCGGAAAGGAGGGTCTTCTTTCGGGACAAGATCGGTGTACGAGTGTACGGTGTCGTGGCCATGTAGCTTATAGTTGAGCTCGTCTCGAAGCTGGCTAAGTAATCCAGACTCGATCAGAGCCGAAGGAGCGGCATCGACTCCAGGTTTACACTATAGAAGAATAGCCATCTCGTAAGCTTCTGCGATATTCCGAGGGGATGTGTATAGCAATTGCGGTTTCAATTGCGGTTTCTCATACCTGACCACCCGAGAAACCAACGGCTACGACGCCGAGGTCCTCGGGGTGGGAAAGAAACTTGGACTTGACCATGGAGGTGTTCATTGTTGCTAGCCTCGTTTCCTATATAGTTTTGAGGAGGAATAGTGTTGGTGATGTATAATCGAGTCGGGAGATGGTTATTATAAGTAGTCCGCCGGTCTACAAGAGTATGTTAGAGTGTACGTGTTGAAGATGTAAGTCTTATGAGTACAAGAATCTTTTAAGTGAGGAATTGTTGGAAGCTTAAATGTCGGTCCTACCTGCCCGATATCTTATAAATTTTCTAGCACATGACTGCGGCGCTACTTGTGTTTCTTCCACTACCCCTTCGCGTCCCTCTTGGGTGCATACCTATACGTTCTAAGCTTTTAAAGGCTAACCCGTATACCGAGCGGTGGGGGTTAGGGTGGAAACTACCGGCAACTAGGTACCTTGATAGGTATCGCATATCGGTGGCTTACAGGTAAGAACTGCACTTATATGCACTATAATCTAATCAATCCGGGTAGCCACATGGAGATATATGCTCCTAGACCTACCTAAATAAGCCACTACCTCGCCCTAAAGCCTTAGGCGCATTATCCCATGCTAAGTGCCAGGAATGTAGTACGTAAAATGGTAGAAATAAAAACATTTCTGTCCTTAAATTACGGCCGCACTCGTCATCACCAATATGTCCCCCTACTATAGTAGAGATCTTAACAACCACCGGCATCGGCGTACAAGAAAAATACCAAATTCCATTAGGTTAATACTAACGCTTTTCCCTGTATTTTCCTCTATACAACCTAGTATAAGCTAGATAGTTAAATCTTTTACGTACATAATTCCCCACGATGATCTTATATCCTGCTTTGGCTGCTTGGTCGAGCAAAGCCGTTTCTAACCAGAACTTTCCTTTTAATGGCTACAGCTTAGCCGACGCATTCTCAACTCATGACACACATTTCCTCTCTCGCATGACCTCTTTCTCTAGTTTTTGTTATATTGCTGCAATACGATATCATCTTAAGTAATAGCGTCGATAAACCCTCAATCAAAGATAGATCTAGATATTTCCCCGGCACTCTAGATCCGGAAGCCCAATAGCAGTAGATACGATTATTACCGCTCACCTCATGTGGACGGTCCAATTTATTTCAGCCGTTCAATCGGCACCACCTTATCGATGCCGTTTAATAAGTTGTTCTAGATAAGCCGATTCTGCTTCAGGGTGCGGGAAGGGGAAGGTCCTCAGCAAAGCTACTGTAATCTTTATTTCCGACGTCTCTCCAAAACGTAACCCACGCCTTGATTCTAAGCCTTGTTACGGAAGTGATTTCTGAGGGGGATAGACTAACAGGGTCATCTTATCCGAATTGATTAATACTTGAAATTAAAGTTGGATATTTAATTAGTAGTGAGCTTGAAGAGGGTTTGCCCGGCTTCAACTTAGACATATAATGCTTAGTTAGTTAGGTACTTAACCTACCTAGTTAATAACTACCTATGCTTAGTCTTACCCGCATAGACTTGACGTGTCAACAGCATAACTCACAATGCCATTTGGAAACTAATCAAGTCTGCTATAAAACTTTACTTAATCAATTCCTAAAGATTACCTAGCTTTCAGACTCTTTATATTAGTACAACTGCGAAAGTGTATTGGTTATGTTTGAACCGCGTCTTTTCGATCAAAGGTAACAAAATAATATGCAGCCAATGCTAAATTCAAGACACCAAATATTGTGTTAATGTTGATGAACTTATGACCCTATACTCATAGTCGTAGAGTTTACCATTTCCGAAGTCTTGGTTATAGAGGTTACATTTATAGTAGCCAGAGAACTTTTTCACAAAGCAATATTCACGTAAGTATGGAAGAGTATTTTATAAAGAACCGTAGAGACCGCTCAGCGAAATATAAACTACATATTGTTGAAGACATCAGAGTACATTGACGCCATAATTGCCCCTTCGGAGTTCTGTCATTGTCCTATCTGTCTTCAATCGAGGCTTTACGTATCTCGTTATACCTAGTTGGATCATTTCGGCACCGAGGTAGAGTTTTAAACATGTATTTATCAGGCCTGCTAAGAGAACTGGTATAGAATTTGTGATTTGTATTTTGTGGACTGATTTTGTGGACTTTACTAAGATGGTACATGAATTTGCTCTAATCAGAATCTGTAGGTAGTTATCAGAATCAAGCTGGGCTGAGCTGAGACTGTCTGACGCCTGATGGTCTAAATTATTTAGCTTGCATTTCTTATCATTAGGTTAGGAGGTACCTATCATTATCATTTTAATCAACAATGCTGAGAATCGGATATAAGACAATTCGGAGGCACGGCATCTAATCAATATTTGTACTCTATCAGAGAGATGCTCTTGCAAGCAATAAATACAGCATGATATAACAAGACAGAAACATTAAAGACTTTACGAATTCGGGGTGCATATCTCTAGGTACCTAAGGTACATATATCCTAGCAGGTGCGCGGGAAGCAAGGGTAGGTACATATGTACCTAACCTACCTACATGTACCTAAACATGTCAAACCTGAAACGATGTTACGTAGGTGGGGTAGATAGAGGTACCATGATAAGTGTTTGCGCTTACCTCTGCGGGGGATCTATCAATCAGGTACAATACAATACCTAATTGGACATACAGGACGACGTCAGCTCCTGCTTGCTTATGTTTGTCTAAGACCAAAACTGTCTGACTGTGCCTTGCCTTGAATAAGCGTCGCGATAATCATCCAATTCTCAATTCTTCATCAGTTCTAGTCCCTGAAATATTGGTATCTCGTTAGTCAACCAAGTATAGAAAAATCCGGGTCGCAAGTATCTGCTTGTTATCTGCTTGTTGGAGGTTAGGTTCAGTTGCCGTATGCGCCGGCGTCCGCGCGGTGCCATAGTCTGACTCGTCGACTGCGCATCACCACATCCTCACGTCTCTAGTGGATATTCGTTCGCATACTAAAACATCATGTAAGTACAGTTCTACTAACTACATAGCAATTCTACATCCTAATACCTAGGTAATTACCCGCAAAATCTGATACGTATCGCGGACCTTAGGATCGAGCCATCCGAAAGACTACGACGAGCAGTCCATAGCAACGACGCCTCGCTCGTTCGCCGCATTGTGAAATCTCACCCAGGTCTAATTCATAACCCAGACCATTCCGCAACTGGTCTCTCTAATTCGAGCCTCCACCTTGCCGCCAGCCTTGGTCACCTCCAGGTATGCAAAGTCTTAGTTACTCACGGTCACGAGCTTCCTACGCCGGCTTTGAACGATGACCATCAGACGGCCTTGATGCTAGCCGCCGCCGCGGGTCATACGGAAGTCGTCTTGTTTCTTGCCGAGAGCGATCCCGCATCCATCCTCCGACGGGATATCCGAGGTAGGGATGCTATCATGGAGGCTAGCATGGGAGGTCACGATACGGTGCTACAGATTCTTCTCACGTATGCGCCTGGAGGGGCGCAAAATGCTGTTCAGAATGCGGATCTCGACGGGAATACCGCTCTACATTTCGCCAGCAGCAACGGTAACCTCCTCGTTCTACGGACTCTGCTTGCTGCAGGGGCCGACCCCGAGAAGAGAAATGTTTGGAGTTGGACCGCCATCGCCTACAGCGCGACCGTACAAGCTGAAGTCTACCTCAAAGGACTTGTCTCTGAGGTTGAGAAGCGAAGGCGGATCAAAAACGAGGTAGAGGAAGGGAGAAAGGGAGGCGCCGTCCGAATGGTCGAAGAAGAAATCAACGTGGTAGACTGAAGCTAAGATTTAGTACGACTACACATTGACGAAGTATCTACTCGCGCGGCCCGTCGGTACTATTCCTCACGATGTTCTACGACGCTTAGCTAGGGAACCGAGTCTCCCGCCTCTACAAGCGCTATGGAACCGCCTTCCTCCCATGTTTACGTACGCATTTTGGGCGAGCTGGCAAACTTCTAACCAGCCCTAAGCTTGTGCTACCACTGGATCTGGTATTCCGGTTGATTTTTGACAAGGTCTGCGAAAATGGTGCCTGTGGCACGAAGATGATATCATTCAAACAGCCTTGTCCCTGACGACCAACCCTCGCAGTAGTTTCGCGGTCATATCCCACGTCTACCGCAAGTGACTACTCTTAACACTCACAGTATCATTTGCTGGAAATGCGTCAATACTGGGCACTGACTTTGGGTGACTAGACAGAGATCAGTCTGATTTAGGGTTTGCCGCCTTCTCGTACACCCGCAGTGCCATTGAATGGTTTGCCGTTTTCAGCTTCCGAATTATAGTGTCAATGTCGGGCGCTACATTGACGTACTCTCTTACAGTACGCGATAACCATTATCTAATCCAAAAGGCGACCATACGTCAAATCTCTATGGTATCTTTCTCTCTACGCTGTAATCTCGCACGCGGGATTATTTAGACTGGTTTGGTACATGTATTACAATCTTCCATCCCAAGAAGAGCGGTGATCGCATGAGACGAGTTGTGTAAGGGGGTGACTGAGCAGATGATGAATCTACTGGACGATTCACTTTTCGCTTCTATCACCGAGTCTGTTTGTGGAATGCCCTTAACCATTGAAGCCCCCCTATTCGTCTGGTGATGATGAATATAATCTACCATCTCACGCTTGAGTCTCCTAGTAGCTGGATGTACTGTGATAGAAACAAACACGACACTATCTCAACAATTCAGTAGCCGTGACACTGTCCTAAGCGGAAAACTGCACAGTCTTCACTACAAATCACTACTACTCCCCGCAAAGGCTCTTACTTACAGCAATACTACTCAACTCTCTGGTTCCAACTTATTTAAGCGGACACTTTCTGCTCGTCTTTCAAGCTGGATTCTCTACAGACTCTGGTTGAATTGCCTCACCCGGCTACGAAACTCATCGTCGGCCAATACTTCTGGATTCATCCATCTCGACGCTCTTGGGCTTGGCTGATTGTCGGTTCGTTTTACGACTCCGAGGCCCATGAGCTCTGGCATATCGAACTTTTTATCGGCTACAGGGATAATACTGCTACCGAGTTTGCCGAGTCCTTAACATCTAACGTATCTAACGCGACTGGTAGGTTATTACCCCTGTTATGGTTTTTGCCTGTATCCGTATCCGTACTAACTTTTATAATAGAGACCTTTGTAATAGACGAAGGAGACGAATATTTTAGAGATAGCGTAGAAACACAACTTAACCTTAATAACTCCCCTACCGAATACAACGGTACTGAACTTCAAGGGGAGGTCCTTGACAACTTCTTTACTCACATTGTCCATTATCCCGGGGACTACACGGATTATACGCAGGCCTTTACACCGATCATGGCCGCCCAGACGTTCGGAAACGGATGGCACCCCCAGTTCGGCTCGGACCAGACTGCAAACGCGAATGCTAGTCCTTCCTTTGGCAACGTCATCCCTGGCATCGTCTATACCGGCTCCAGTAGTTATAGCTACCTCCCGAACCAGGGCATATCTGGTCTACCCGGCGGCGTCGTCCCCGGACCGAATAACCAGGCCCCGGTGTATGTTATCCCTCCGAATGGACATAACTACCCGGTCCCTGTGTTTCCCAGCCAGGGACCCCGTCTACCGAACCCCCATCCTGTTGTCAACCTCGACGCCCCGGCTTTGAACCTGAACAACTCCACTGGTGGTGTCGGTTGCGAGCCTGGATACAACTACTTTTTCCCGCCCGAACACACGAAACTTCATGTTGTCAAATCGTCGACCGCCCCCTGGCGACTCCCTGAAGGCATGTCGATGAACTTTGGCGCTTACCATGTGCCTGTCAACACGACGTTGGCGGAGCTATTAGTGGGCTTTGGCGCTCTCAACCCCTGTCCAAAGAAGAACAAGGTCACCGAAGTGATTCAGGGAGGTAACGGAAAGTGGTACAGGGGTGTCACATTTTCTGGTGACGGTGAATCTATGAATAAGACGCTAAGAGATCTAGGCTGGGATCGTTCGCGGACGGGACGCACGGGAGAGAAGCCGGTCATCTGGCTTTGGATTACAAAGGATTAATACCCAGCATGCGTATCTAGATGCTGATTTATAAGTAGGACCATCGCGACCGCTTTTATTTTTTTTTCGTTGGGGATTTATATGTACCTCATAGGGGTTACCTTGCACAGTTATTATAAGATGTTTTTGATCAGCGCGCCAATAAGCGATATATGTTTCTAGTCTAGCCAGGTATTCGGTAGTTGCGCTGCTTATAAAATTAGGTACTTACGTAGGCTTATTTCAAGAATATCGCACCGTGTCGTTAGCCTTGAACGTCAGCTAGCTTTACCTACTACTTCGGTTTGCGGATGGCCCAATTACGCCGTGCCAAATATGATTTTCGGCCGTGAACAGTAAGAAATAAACGATCAGCGAAGGAGGAAGAAGGAAGAAAAAAGAAATTTGTAATGTAATCTAGAAGAATAGAATAATATTAATAATTGAGACTTTTAACCGGGGAATTAGTAAGCGTTAGCTTAGAAATGATGCTTTTGATGCAGTTTTATAGTAGCTTCACGATGACGATGTTCCATTCGCTTCTTGAATCAGGGGCGGGACTATAGCGACTAACCACTATTACTGATATTTGTAGTCGTGCTGAAGCCGCAGCTGATAAATAAAAGTAACAGTATAAAGGTATAAGGTTATAATGGCCAGCTACCTCAAGGACAATTTGCAATTCAGCCTGAACATATTCAATACACTTCACCTTGACAGCCCAACACATTCCACTGCTATTTTTATTTTTTTCGTATTAAATTAACTACCTCATAACTTCCTCGAAAGCCCACCATGGCATCCTTTTACGAGCTAACCATCCCCGTCCTAACTCGGGCCCTCCGAACCGAGGTGACGCTTCTCAAGAAGGCCGAGGAGTACGCCAAAAGCACCGGCACGTCCGTGGAAAAACTCGTCGCTGCCCGTCTAGCCCCGGACATGTTCTCGCTTTCGAAGCAGGTCGGGGTCACGGTGCATTTTGCGAGGGTCGCGTCCCACCTGCTGGCAGGCAGGGAGCTGGTGCTTACGCAGCTGGACGAGTGGTCGCTCGAGGAAAACTACAGCGCCATCGCCGACACGCTTAAGCTGCTGGCGGGTATCAAGCCCGAGGACGTCGACGGGAAGGAATCCGACGTGCTCTCGTTCAACGTGGGCCCTGGGAAGGACACTAGCGCAAAGGCTGTAGATTGGTAAGTCTTGCATCTAGATATCGTGTTTGTTTTTTTAGAGAGCAACAGGCTAACTACATAACCTATGCTTGTAGTACGTGAACGAAAGAAAATCGGGTGGCTTGGCTACCTACCTAAGGTGTCTATGCTAACAACTTCGCAGATGTAACCAAGTTCCTCATGCCGTCGGTCTACTTCCACTTTATTACCCTCTACGACATTCTAAGGCATGAAGGCGTGCCATTGGGCAAGCTCGACTTCCTGGGGCACCAAATTGCAGAATGGGAGTTGGTCTAGACGTATACGTATAAGTAGGAGTATGAAAGAGTAGGATATGGTTGGATTTGGTATAAATAGAGAAGATTGAATAAAACCTGACAATCATTATATCTCGGACGTCTTGTTACCTGCATCAGAATATTTATTAAATACTACCTAGATGCGTAATAGCCTCCACAGCTTCGTTTCGATTGGAATGTTCATCTTACCATATATACGTAGCTCTAAGACGAAACCTACACGGGGAGCCTACAGGGTAGCAAGGTGATTTTGGATAGCCTACCCCATGTACCTATATATCATATCTGGGCGTAGTAGTGATTGTGTTAAAGAGTAACCTAAATCGTCTGATGTGTTGCTGAAGCAGACAAGACTGGTTGGATGCACGATATAGACGACAATACCATCCTCATATTTATACGTTTCAAAATCGACGCGCTCAGCCGTGAGGATCTAGCGGAGACACCAATGCGAAGCCCGGAGGCTTGTTGATCCCCCGACGGATAGCTTCGTCGATAATAGCAGCAGTAGCCGAAGTACCAATTCGAGTAATGCCTAGCGATATAGCCCCCATTACCTCGTCTAGCGTTCGTATCCCGCCGGCGGCTTTGATCTGTACGTGAGGTCCGATGTTGGCCTTCATTAGCCGTAAACGCGGCACGGTAACTCCTTTAGATGTATATGAGCCGTTGGGCTGTTTCACGAATCCGAAGCCAGTCGATGTCTTTATGAAGGCCACGGGGAGAGCCGTGCAGATCTTGCACAGATGCGCAACGTGCTCGTCTTGGAGGAAGTCGTTCTCGAATATGAGCTTGAGAATGGCGCCGTGCTTCACAACAGTATCGTTAACAGCGCGAATCTCATTAGTCACATATTCCCAGTCGCCCCCGAGAACCTTGCCTATATTGGCTACCATGTCAATCTCGTGGGCTCCCGTCTTAACGGCGTCTTCAGCTTCGAGGACCTTGATAGCTGTGGTGCTGTTCCCATGAGGAAATCCAACGACAGCGCATATAAGAACTCCCGACCCGTCAAGGACGTCCTTCGCCGCGGAAATACTGTAAGGCTTGACGCATGCCGCTGCGACCTTATTCCTTTTAGCTATCTCGAGGCCGGCAAGGATCTCTTTATCGGTCATGGCAGGATGTAGTAAGGAATGGTCGATGACTTTGGCGATCTGCGCGAGACTTACGGCCACGGCCGTATGCGTTGCCATTTTTTGAGTAGAGGCCGAGCTGTTGTGGCTTAAACATAATACCATCCTCGTGGATGAGCTTCGCGAGGGACGAGATTGAACGTCTCGAAGAGATATCTATTGTAGATTCGCCCCTGTCATAAGCTACCTACCTAGGCACCTTGGATAGATAATCACTTCGAGAAACGGTAGCTACCAGGAACTTAGATATATTAGGTGATGCCCTAATAACTCTTGGCCTCCGTTACAGGACGCAGAATCTGTGGGCGATGCGGGGTTTTGTCGTATCACATTGCGATTAGAGCGCAGATTTTCCATCATCGCCACTTTATAGTATATAGTCTTAACTTAATTTACCACCTATTCCATGCGTGTTCTTGGATACTTGGGTAGGCATGGTTGCAATATATTCTAGACTCGAGTTAGTTACCATGCAGCACGCACTTAATAAGGCAGGGATTCGTTGTCACGTTGGTATCTACACATGCAAGGAACATGAAGGTAAGAATCAGGGGGTGTGATATGAAAGTACCTACAGGCAAGTAAGCTCATACGAACCTCGTGTTATATATTTATATGCGTATATATGTACCGTATATATTTAATATAAACGCATCATGCCAGAGGAAATTTGCTCCCTTGATCCGCGTCCACTCGGAATCTAACCCCATAGCTGCTGCCAGTCAAACCAGTTGGAGGAGGTTCCGAAATCGAGATTTCCTTCGAGGGCGGCGTCTACCGCGCCCAAGTCGAAGGTTGGGTCAAAATGACCGAAAACATCAAGGTCCGAAACTTCTTCGAGAATCGAAAAGTCAGCACCGTGAGTATTGTAATTGTTAAGAGCATCGTCCGCGCTTGGAGGAGGCAGTTCTCGGTCTCGTGGTGCCGACTCGCCCTTCTTTGAAGCATCTATTAAACCGGTTTCCTGTGTTATCGACGCAACCGCCTTGTTCATTTCCTGGAGAACCTGTTCAGCCATTGCCACTGTAGTCTTCGCGGTCCAGAACGTGTCGTCCATTGATTTTAGTAGTGTCGTGTTTTCTATAAAAGACTGCTTGCCCCTACTTCTAAACATGGGGATATTGCTATGGCGCATTTTCCGATACGACACACTTAGAGACAAAGAGACACCGTACGGAATTATAGGCAAGTATGATAGCTGCCCCAGAAACTCACGTCCGACGATGGACGTGATTCGGTCGGCCGCCAAAGATCGACGGCTGTTTGTTGCCGGCGCCGGGAGGGCAGTGGAGCGATTTTCAGATGGTGACTGGCTTGAAAGTATAGCAACTGAGTGGTAAAATATTTCAAGAGAGGCTAACTACACATGAGCACAACTTGCTTGAGTCGTCAAGACATCTACTTACCTAGACATGAGCTTGAAGCCCGAACCGCTCCGGCATCGATGATCATTTGCTCAAATATGGGTAGCTCAATAATGAATTCCTTTTCTTTCCGGCTTCCGGGACGATACAAACCGATAACCTTGTCAAGGAGGCCGATAATCATCAGAAACAGTCGAAAGAGTGGTGCTTGCGTTACAATGCAATCCTCCAGGTTCCAGCCGATATCTCGTTCATGGATGAGACAAGCTCGCCCGTAAAATGCGCCATTAAGGCGGTCCAAGGCCCAGAGGCAACAGAACAAGGAACGAGTAGCCTGGATATTCGAATGGCTTTCTTCCGAGGCCATCTGTAATCCCAGAGTATGCATTTGATGAACCGCACGGCCGTTAAGCAATGCTGGGATGTCGGCTTCGTCAGAACTGCGAGGCTGCATATATAATGACAAAGCAGCTAGTATGCGGGTTAGAAAGATACGGTCCGTGATGAGGCCGGCGTCGATAGTCGTTTGTATTGCATCCGATAGCAGAGTGCAGAAGTTATGCCGAGAAAGGACTGAACCCTCAGGGTTCAAACGAAGATGACGCGAAGCTTCAGGATCGGAAGCAGCCGCAAGACTAACTATTTGCTTTAACACTTTCTCTTTTATCTCGTCATCGGACTGAATTATTGAGTGGCCGAGGATGGGGAAGATAGTATCCAGCTTGTCAAAGTAGATACGGCGGAGAACTACGTAGTCTGAAGGCGGAGGACAGCAAGGAAGGCAATGACTCCTTACGTATACTCTAAGCATGTCCTGAACTGCTTGTCGCGATGGCGATGTCAAGAAAAGGGGACTGGCGGCTTTATCTAAGCCGAGTGCTCGAGGTTGCCATATCCCTAAGCCACCCCTCACTGATACATCGCGAGTTGAGCAAAGACTCGTAGCCTCCATGAGAATTGCTTCGGGGCTCAGGTCGCCAACAAATCTGGAAGCATGTCGCTCTGGACTCTGAGCGTCATTGGGACTACGGAGAGGCTCGCATCGTGGAGGAGTAGGATGGCCAGTTGGATTACGGACCGTGGTATCCCCACCCCCGGATATTAAACTAGGCGAACCGTCTTTAGAGGTATCGCTATCGTGACTATGAAAGCATCTCTTCTTCCGGCGTCGGCACCTAGCACAGGCCTGGGCGACCTGCTTCCTCTTAAGGGGTAAACCTGTCGAGTCGGACTCGATGAATTTAACCATGGCCACGAACCGCGGCGAAACCCCAGGAACGTCAACTCCGACGCTGATCACAGTTAGTATTGACTTCTAAGAGAGGAAAGCCCTTAGCATGGCATTCTTAGTACGGCGGGACCGAGAAAGAAAAGGCGAACCAGGATGTCGGCGAATAACCTAACAAGGTAGTGCCCGAACGGATCCTGAAAGATATCGCTGTTTAAGCGAGGCACTCACATATAAAACAAGCACCGTCTGCGCTATACGTGTTGTAAATCTTACGAAGCTCTTGTGAACAAATCGATCAGTAAGTTTGTAGAAGCGTTGTGCTGTTGGTAGACATCGTATGAACGTTAGGAGAGGCGGAGTCGGGTTTACTCAATCTGGTAATTCCGTATCTAGATCCAAACGGCCCCGCTCCAGAATCTTTGTAGCAATGGGAACTCCGACGTTATGTGATTGGATGGTCGACAAGGAGACTTATATCGGCTCTTATACTCTGACACTCCAAAACTCCAAAAGTTGACTAGTAATTAGGTCCGCGGCAACACGATAAATACCAACTTACGTATATCCGTATAGGTATTTCGCTCTTAGCTTCTATACGTGGTATAATGTGTGATACCTGTTCTTGGTGCGTTGCACTAAAACCGCCACCTTGCTGTCGGAATTCAAGGAACCTAAATGGGAAATTCCGGCAACTCTCCTCTCCTAGATGTAGTTAAGATGTTCAAGTAGAATCGATGATTGAGTTACCATATATAGCATTACCTAAACAGTATGATAAAACTCATTCTCCTTCGTGACTTTTTATGCCTTGTCTCAATAAGGACTATAAGGTAGATGTTGCCAACTTGCTCCCTATATCCTATATCCTCCAGCGTGAGAAGAAGTCAATCAGATACTTGCCTATATACTATTTACTATCACCGATATCATGTTGCGCACTGTTCCGAGACGGTTATCAATAAACACTCACCAGATACGATCAGTCACGGGGACAGCAACCCAAACTCAGACTAAAAGGGAGGGTGATATTTCCGACTCCTTTGTCTCATTATCCGGCGCTGCTAGACCACTTCTTCCTCAGCGGTTTCTTAACCTTAAGAAGACCTTGGTTAGCGGTCATGAAGGTCGTGTAATTGATAGCTGGAATCGACTTCTCGCCGAGCTGAAACGCGAGAATAAGATAATCGCCAGAGGAGGTCCCGGAATCATTCCTAGTCTCGACTTTCAGGACTTGGACACAGATATTACTAAACTCCGCGACGAGCTTGAGAAGAGAGGTGTCGCTGTCATTAGGGGGGTGCTCCCGGAAGACGAAGCTCGGTCATTTAAGGACGAAATCGAGGAGTATGTGAGACAGAATCCCCAAACAAAAGGTACCACCATAGCAATAGGTACCTAGCCA